AAAAAAAAAAAAGATATTCCAAGAAGATTCAGAATACTCTAGGGTCTAAATCAAAATGCACAGAAGCAAGCCTAGGTATCTGCAAATAATTTTGTAAGAGCATCATTTCCCTCCAACTGTTATAATACACATTTCAAATGTAGAAAAAAATTGGAGGCATAGTCCAATAAATAGTCATCACGTACCGTGAAAAAAAAAAAATAATTTAGTTAATCTTTAAAATTTTTCACAGCACACTAAAGATCCTCTCTAGCACACTAATGCACAGGGCTGAAAATCACTGCTTTATCTACTGCCCCTCTAAATATAGCATACTATGTACACAGTTCTGCACCATGCATTTTTTACTTAGTATATTCTGGATATCTTTCCAAATTAGTATACAGAGAACTGCCCCATTCCTTCTCACAGCTTGATAGTGTTTCACTTAATATGCCAAAATTTATTCAAGCAGTCTTTTCTTGACAGATATTTCAGTTCCAATTTTTTTTTGCTATTACTGGCCCACCTCCCAAAAAGCTGAAATGAACATACTTGTACATAGCTCATTTTATACACATGCAATTGTATCTGTAGGATAATTTCCCAGAATTGTGATAACAGAGTCAAAGAGCAAATATCTTTGTAATTTTTCTTTTTTTTTTAGAGACAAAGTCTCACTTTATTGCCCTTGGTAGAGTGCAATTTTTAGTCTTACCAGCAATATATGTAGAATTCATGTTTCTTCAGTCTTACCAACACAGTAAGTATGCTGCTGAATTTTTAGAGTTTTGCCACCTTATTTCCATTTTTAAAAAGTAAAGACAACAACACACTGAGATCTGATGGGAATAACATGGCACTTACAAAACTCATTTGAGATCCTCTTGTGATATCGTTTTTATACTAAATTTTCCAGCCAGAAAATAGGTTATCTGCCATCATTTATTCATCTTTCCCCCCTTTCATCTCTCCTATTCAATTTAATCATTTTTCAGATTTAATTTTTTGTACTTCAAAAAATTTTTTTTTTAGAGACAAAGTCTCACTTTGTCACACTCGGTAGAGTGCTGTAGCATCACAGCTCACAGCAACCTCCAACTCCTGGGCTTAGGCGATTCTCTTGCCTCAGCCTCCTGAGTAGCTGGGACTATAGGCACCTGCTACCACGCCTGGCTATTCTTTTGTTGCAGTTTGGCCGAGGCCGAGTTCGAACCCGCTACCCTCGGTATATGGGGCCGGCGCCTCACCCACTGATTGAGCCACAGTCGCCGCCCCGGTTTTTATATTTTGTATTACCACTTAATTTTTATACATAGATATCTTTTCCTTTGGGGGATTAGTTTTTCGTTTTTACGTCGAATTAGTAGTTGTTAGTGCAGGGATTTTTCTTTCTCATGTTCTTGTTGGATCCAGCACCTTACTGAATGACCTCTGTGTGTTGGGGAAAGAGAGAAGCGAGGGAAAGAAGCCTGAATTGTCTCAATAACCTCAGTTACTGTTGTTATTTCTGGCAGTGCTTCACCACTGGGCATGTAAGAGTGATTAAGAAGAAATAGACCCGGCTCTTTTCCAGTTATCAATGCCGAAGGAGGAATTCTTATACCATTGGCAAACGATAGTGTTAACCCTCAGACGAGGCATTCAGGGAAGACGTACTTTGGAGGAGGTGACTTTGAGACTGCACTTTTCACTCTCAGGGGAGGTGACTTTCTGTCCAGCTCTTTTTGACCACACCGTCCCAGCCCTCCTCCCTCGAGATAATCGCAAGCCTTTTCTCCTCGCTTCAACACCTGCCTGCTTTAGCCTCTGCGGCCTCTGCGGCTGCGCAAGACTCCCAAAACATCTGACTGGTAAGAGGCGTAGCCGGTCCGCTGGGGGCGGGGCTTAGCGTAGCTTATTTGGTGGGATGGTCCAAATGTTGGCGGAAGTGCTCTGTCTTGTTGCCGGAAGTAGGAAGAGGAGGGTTGTGATGGCGGCTGCGACTGAAGCCGAGGGGGTGAGTACGAGTGGCCCTGACCAGGGGTTTTTGCTGGGGAGGGCTCTGGGCAGAGGCAAGGCTAGAGGTGGAGGCGAAGCCTGGTGGCGGGCAGGGTGGCGCCAGACACTGTAGGGGTTGAACTGGCAGTGGAGGTCCCAGGCCCAGCCTAGAGGGAAAAGCCAAGCCAGCCCCGCCTAAAGCCTGTCCAACTCGCTGCAGGTGCCGGTGGACTGCACGGAGGAGAGGTCCCTCACGGTAGCTGAGGAGCTGGCCGCCCAGAAGCGCGAACAGAGGCTGCGCAAATTCCGGGAGCTACATTTGAAGCGAGTGAGTAGTCTCCAAGGCCAGCTCAGGTCTGACTCCTGGCCAGGCCTGTGCGCGTTTATAGTGGGACTGTTGTCGGACTAAGGAGTTTGTCTGCTTGTCACTTAATTAACGGAGAAGTGGATGAGAGATTAAGAATTCTACTTTTTTTTTTTTGAGACAGAGTCTCACGCTGTCGCCGTGGATAGAGTGCCCTAGGCGTCACAGCTCGCAGCAACCTCAAACTCCTGGGCTTAAGAGATTCTCTTGCTTCAGCCTCCCAAGTAGCTGGGACTACTGGTGCCCGCCACAACGCCCACCTAATTTGTTGTTGTTGCAGTTGTCATTGTTGTTTTAACTGGCCTGGGTGGGTTTCGAATCCGTCAGCCTTGGTGTATGTGACTGGCGTCCAACCCACTGAGCTATGGGTGCCGCCCACAATTCCAGTTTTATTTACAGAAGAGTCAGCAATTTTGGAGAAAAGTGAAGACATCCTTTCAAAGAGCTGCTTTTTGTTATTTTTTGCAATATATATATATATATATATTTTTTTTTTTTTGAAACAGAGCCTCAAGCTGTCCC